GGAGTTTTAAACTTTTTAACTAAAATAGGTATTAATAGATAGTTTCTTCTCATTTAAGGAGGAAACAAAGAAAACAACACCAAAAGCAGAAATTATAAAGCATCCTAGAGACTTGTATCAAAGTAGACTAAAGAAGCTACGTGAAAAACTTAAAAAAGATGGTCATCTAGATAGCAATATTCAGCTAAGCAAACGTCAATTGCTATTACGATCAGTATACAGCCGTGATGTTCCACCGCCAGATCCTGTCCAATCACCAGAAGTAGAACAAAAAGAGATAAAGAAAAGCCCACCGCCCAAATCCTATATATCAGATTGGCGAAGTCGTGACGAAATTCCGGGATGGAAACAAAACAAGTTCGCTAGTTTGGAGAAACGAAATTTTAATCCATGGGCACCAAAAAGGAAAGTTTCTCGTGAAGTGATGGAAAAGATTCGTTGGTTGCATCGAGAGGTTTGCTAGTCTTTTATTTATTTTGATTAGTTATACGCTTATACTAATTTACCTTATGAATATAAGTTGCCAAATGATTTCACGGTGGCGAAACTCGCTGAAGATCATCAAATTTCTCAGGAAGCAGTGCATCGTATACTAAAATCTAAATTCGTGCCAACACCTGAAGCGATGGAACGATATAAACAAAGGAAAATAGAAAAAGCAGCAGAAGCACAAAAGAAAGCTAGAAATCAGAGAAGGATTCAGAGGATGCAGAGAATTACAGGAACTAAAAAATAATGACATCCTGGGATATAATAATTAGATTATTTATTGTTATTGTTTTTTTCCTTTGTTAGTGGTAACGGCGCTTTGTTCATAGGGAAAAAATTAAATATGCACGTTATGGGTTCCTTTGACGTCTCGTTTATTAATTATCTTTATTGTGTGCTTATAATTGACCTTTTTGAAATTCATGAACTGCGGGATATGAACCTTAGGTGTAATGGAAACTTTCTGATTAATCATATTATTTTATTATTGATTTAAATAAATAAGGTGTATAATAATGATGATGACGATGATGATACTGTTTCCATAATCAGATGTTTATTACAATTGTATATCCCCTTCACTTGTATCATTTAGCGATAATAATTCCAATTGGCCCTTTCCTTTCGTATCATTCTGTAACAATTCACTAATGGCTCGGTACTGTCCTGGATCAATAGTACATAACTAACCATGTGCATCCAATTTTAAAAAATAAATTGATTAGAGAATTAAAAAGATTTTGTAGTCATCGCCAACATAACTTACCAGCTCATATTCATCTCCGTCGAAATTCTCATCTTCAGTTTGTGCAATAAGCGGAACCAATTTCTCCCGGATTCTCTTCCCCTCTTTTACATTTGGTATCGTTATTCGTAGCCGCATTTGTGCACGGGCAATTGGGATGATTTTCTTTTCTTGAATCTGTTTGATGACGTCTAATGCCTATTGTTCGTTGATTAATTGATCGTTAAAATAGCGTCAAGTTAAAAATTAAAATCTTTGTAATCTTCAACATACCTGAGACTTTGTACTTCGATTCGTCTTCACAGATATGTGTAGCTCACCCATCGCTTTCTCAATCATTGTAACAGTGTAAGGACGTTTCGTCTCAGGATTCACGCATTTTTCCGCAACCATTGTCGCAATTTCACGATACGTGTTATCGATTTGATTTGAGCGTTCTTTTTCGCCTACTTGCATTTCACCCTTTTTTAGAATCTTCATTTTCCAAAAATCATAAATAGTATTAGGAGAGGATTGCATTTACTCAAATACAAAAAACTAAAATACCTCTTCTATAATCTTATTTAGATCTTCAGTTTTGAATGCTTTTTGTAAATCATCTTTTGGGGCTACTTGTCCTTTTGACACGTTCAGAAATACATTATTTATCTGAAGAACATTGTCCAAGTCTGTTTCGCTAAATGGATCAAAGATTTTTTTAATTTGAACAGATGACATTAACCTTAATTGTGCGAAAAAACTCGATGCTGAGTAAATCACTTTCTCATACCATAATATACTTACATGCCGTTCCTCCACTCTAAGACCTTATTTTTATAACAAGCAACCTCGAATCGTTTGCCACCTTTTCGTAAACGAACTATCGAGACGTTTGTGAGTCTATTATCAATAGATAAAATGCATAAATTCTTCCCTTTCACCATCAAATAATGTAACAAAAACTCTCACTTTATTTGGTTACTTGGCTGATTTATAGGCATATTGATAGTTTGTTTTTAATTATCTTGAGGAATATTATACAATTTTTATAATAAACGGAAGTCAATGATCTAATGATATGCGTAGTGCAGGAACTAAAAATCTATTGTTTATCATCATCTTGTTTATATGACACCATTAATAATTAAATTCACCAATCAAATATTTGCCAACGGGTCTACGTTAAAATTAACAGGATCCGATTCCAACCCAAGTTCCTCCTATGAAAATAAAGGAAATAGTATAGTAACAGTAATAATATCAGAAATAGACCAAAAAAATTATTATTACCATCACTTCGGCCGGTTTCTTCTCCATACTTTCACACATAGGATCCAAGATATCCATGCACTGGCAATTAAAAATTCGTAAATCTCAAATAACAATAAATTGACAAGATATGATGGATTACCATTCTTTTTCGTTCTTTCCAAAGTTTTCTGTTTCGCTCGTACATCATATCGATATTTTCCTTTTCTTCGCGCGAGATTAGTCGTGTGCCAGATCTCAATTCTTTCAGGCGTTCTTCGTATTTTGCATTCTGTTGGAAGAAATTAAAATTAATAAGTGCCAGATCATAAGCTTATTTCTATAGACCACACCATTGCACGGTCCTCGCGCATAAAGGATCAACAGCAACATATAGAAAAAAAATGTTATTTTACCTCCTCGTTAAGACTATTAAGCCTAGAAAAAATCAAATTTGCTATTAAACTCGAGTAAAAAATAATTCAAAATTAAGAATGAGAACGAAACAATAAAATCCCACTCTGTTTCAATTTGCTCATTTGTCAGAGAATTATTGAGACCGGATAAGACTATTACCACACGGATAGATGTTCAAGTTAATAGAGATTATCATGGGAGAAATCAACGGATTATCTCTTACCAGATTGAAGCTGCTTCGTTTCCTCTTTATATTGATTAATCTCGTTCTTTATCGCTTCAATTTGAGAATCCATTTGTACGAGTTCATCATTTGATGGAGATTCAAATTGGTCCTAAAAATTAGGCGAGTAAATGATTTCTTAATTTTCTCGATAGTAAGAAATATTGAATTGATCCTTTATTACCTGTTTAATTACGTACACAGTTTGTTTGCCATAAGTTTTACAAGTTACTTCGTCTTGCGTGACGAGAGAACTGAGAATTTTTTGGGTTGCGGTTTTTGTCACGGCGTTATGTAGATTACTGGAGATGTCAGCTATAATAGTAATAAGTGTAGGGATCGAATGGAATTTATAAAATTTCGATTATGAAATAATGAGCTTACTTGCACTGTATGGTCTGTTCTGTTTTTTTAAATAGTCTAAGACGATTTGTTCAGCTTTTATTACGAATAAAATAAAAAACCGCGTATAAAATAATAAATCAGTTAAGTCTTTTATCAACCGACAACACATAAACTTATTTAGTGTTGATTATTAACTGTCGTCCTTTCCAGACGAGCCCTGTGACGCTTTCTTTGTCTTTGCCATTTTTTTAATATTGACGCGTATCAGGATTTTTTGACGCGTATATTAAAAATAAAATGATTATATACTAGATTTTTCGTGAATTTATAAAATCATGTTTTATTATTATAAGTATACATACATATTTCGAAACTATGCTAACTATGCTAGTGATTAACATAAATTATTATGCTATGTTACATAAAAATGTTAAATGCTATAAAGATATGTATGCATTTATTGTTATATAAGCAATCAAATAATTAACGTGACTCGCATTTGCATTTGCATTCTTTTCCGTTAGCGGTGCATTTACATTCGTCACCGCAAGTATTTCCGTCACAAGAACAAGTATGTCCGTCATTACAATCGCAACTGGATGAGATAAAGTTATGTACATATGTAAATGAATGCTGATTTGAATAATTAATAAGTGTTTTAAATAAAAATTAAATACACACTGAGCTGTTGTTTCTCTCACGTTCTTCACATTACATGTGCAAGCAGTAGTGGCAGTTGCTCCGCATTGACAGTTATTTACACAATGGCATCCGTTGTTGTTATCCATCTTTATGAGGGAAGTAAGAAAAGTTTGAGATATTTTTGAGGATTTAGTTTTCCAAAGATTTGTTTAAAAGCCTATTTTCTATACTTTGTAAGAAAAGATTTTTGTTGAGATTACTGAGAAAGACACCACCTTCTTATATAGTTTACAAATCTTCGAGCCGATAAAAGTGCGCGATTTATGCTGAATAATGAACGGCGATCATTTGCGCTAATTTTGCTCCATTTGTTTGCGCTTTTTTAGCTAATATGATATTTGCTCGACAGACATGATGTTATAATATTATTTATATTGGGCATTCATGTGGAACCCTACACGCGATTTATAGGCTTAAATAGAATCATTTAATTATTGAATCCGTAAAGCCCTTCCAGATCTCTGATTAATAAATGCGCCTATGTCCGAATGATGATACAGTAACAGTCAGAAGTAACGTATTTTCTAAATCTCTCAAAAATAAAAAATTTTTTTTATTTTAAAATACATTATTCCTAATCTTGATAATATAATATAACCAAAATGCAGCCTTTTATATTGCTGATTAATTTTTCTTGGAAAGATAATTTCTTTTACTACATTGTTAATTAATCATCAATCAGCTAGAATAATTATCATTGACCTATGATGCCTTAATGATTTTTGTTTGCAATCAATTGCTAAAAAAAATTGATCAATTTGCAAATGGAATATCTTGGTGTTTAATGATCCGATCCATAGGTATTATTTAATTCATTTGACTAAACAAACCGGATGGTAATATTTACAGATGAATTGGATAACTGAATGACAATATATTGGATCATAGAACAAAGATCAGTATTATTTTTGGAGAAGAAAATTGCAAAGATTATAAGGGATTATGAAAAAATTGGGTAATATGGAAAAATGATAATATAATGGATTAGTCATTTTCACTAATCGTCCCGTATATATTTCTAGTATTCTCAACACTTTCGTAACTCCTTGGATTCTAGTCGTGACAATCGTTTAAAGAATTTCCCGTAATTGAAATACATATCTCTTTAGCTTATCTGATTTGATTATTACACTTATCTTTTTTGAATTTATATTATGTTGAGGTTTGTCACACAATTTGCAATTCTCTCTTTGCTTAACTCAATCAAAAAGTTTAAATTTAAACTATAAACACGCTGTATTTAATACTTTCACGAGCAAATATTCGATTTAAGATTTAATCTTTTATATTCTTTATTAGAACTAATATATAAGGTTCCATTTTAGGAAAAAGTTAGACACTTAGAACATATCGATTAATCATGTTCTTTACCATTAATTACGATTTAGTCTAATAAATTTATTGGGTAATTTCCTTTATAATGCACATTTTGCCATGAATAGATACGCTGTCAGATTTCGAAAATTTCAAAACGATTTTATTGAGTTAATATGTTTAATATGTCTAATACAAAATAAGTGATCAAAAACATGATTTAATGAATTGTTTTTTAAAAGTTAAAACTTATATTAACCTAACGCTAATACAACTGGGTATGTTAGCTATAATAGCATTAAATTATTAATTTGGTTATTGTCTTTGCCATTTATATAAGAGGCATAAAAACTTCTCTGTGAAAGCAAGCTAAAGGTAGGAAAGGAATCAAATGATTATAGATGAATTTTACGTGAAATTCT